ATATATTTATTCTATCTTGTAGTCCATTAAATGTCGAAAACGAATGACTATCTTTTAGAATAAGTAGACAAAAATAATTATATTTTAGTAAGGAACAAGTGGTCTCGCGGACTGAGTGCAGAGAGTTGCAAATATGAAGGTCTCGAGTTCAAATCCCCACCCATCATTTTAGGATATTTTCCGGGTACTTTTCATCAAGTTAATCAGTTGATTGGCGAACTAAATCAGATCTCCAAAGATTAATTTGAGTGAAATCTCGAATTAATTAATTTCCCTTTCACAAAGCGATGTGTCAGTGAATATATATTTGTCCGTTTTCGACATATTGTATTTTGCTGAAATTTATGACACGTCTTGTTGTCATGTTGCTCTTTATGTTAGTGATAAACCGTTGACAGCAAATACACAGCACGTTGTCGGCAACACATGTTGAATACGTGTCATGTCAAACCAAAAACAAATGCCTGACTCACCTGTTTTAAATTTGTTGAAAACTCAAGCGTTTTGTTTTCGGCAACATGACAGCAAAAACGTAGATAGGTGGCTATCAGGGCAGTTACATTGTTGAGTGGGAAATTATAACATTAATGTTACGTAACTGTTACTTTGTGTTTGCTGGGTAAAGATAAAACGCACACGAGTAGTGTTTTCGAACGCAGCTCAGTGCATCCCTGACGAAAATGAGAAGTTTTATAAATGTTTATTTGACGTTTGTATGGGCGTTTTGTAGAAGTTCGTAGAAAATTTTGAAACGGTCAGTAAAAAGTTTATAAAGCGAAAATTGCAACGCTACAGCGTTTGAAAGGTATTTGTATAAAGCGTTTTTGAAAGTTTGCATAGTGTGTACGTTGAGCGTGAGACAAAACAAAATAGTTTATTAAGTTAAATACATCTAAAAATTCAATAAAAGAATTTTCGCGACTTGCGCTTTCACACAGCTAAGAGATTTCATTTGAATTAATTTTTGGAAGCTCGCCGATCAATCGATAAATTCCATTGAAAAGGACCGGACCTGAAAAAATCCTAAAGCTTCTTGCACAATGGAAGAAATAGCAATAGCAATAGAAATAACACCAGTTTTAAAGAGTTTATATTTATAAATAACGGTAGGAACAGCGGAATCTAACATAAAAAAATACACATGTATCAATGCAGATCAGAAAACGGAATAAGCAATAGCTATAAATTTTCCGACGAGTTGGAATTCTGTGTCTATTTGCTTATCGCTATCACTATTCCTTCGCATTATGCAAGAGGCTTAAAGATATAGCGAGATTTGAACTTGAAGACCTCCATATTCGCAACACCTGCACTCAGTCTGGGAGACCACTTGTTTCTTACTAAAATGTAATTATTTTTATGTACTTATTCTCAAGCTATCAACACAGTTCATTTATTATTTCTTTAAAATATTATTTTATTAAAAATATTACAGTGTAATGTACCTGTAATGGATAAAAATATTTCTCTTTCTTATTCTTATTAAATATGATTTAAAGTATATTTTTACAACGCGACCAACTTTTTGGTCTCAAATAATGCTATATTTAAATCAAATATAGTCTGTTACATTTCTGTTAAAAATTGAATTTTTCATTAAATAATGCTTTATTTAATGAAAAAACCTAATAAAACATTATTTCGTTGAAATAAATTATTTCAAGCACTTATATTATTTTCTTCATATTATGATTTAGTATAACGTAACAATACAAAGTTTCATTCAACAAACTTGTTGTTTGGTATAAAATTATGTTGTTTGAATGCAACAAATATGAGTCAAACAAGTCGAATTATTAAATTTAAAGAAACCGTTCTCTCTGTGTAGAATTGTAAGCGTTTGTAAGTGTTCAAATAATTGTTAATCTGGATTTCAATTCTTAAATTTATACGAAAATTTTTTATATGCAAAAGTGTCACTCGCTACGCAATTACTGACTGATATATATTTTTAAATTTAAAAATATATACTAATTAGTAATTATATTAAATAATGTAATATATATTAAATATAATATATCAAATTACCCGAGAAAAAATGGATTAGATCTAACTTAACTTTACCGAGATAAAAAAATGGAAAAATAGATCTAATTAGATCCAAATTAAATCTAAATAGATATAAAATAGATCTAAACAAATATAAGTAAATCTATGGAAATTTACACTTTTATTTATTATTAGATCTACTCAGATCTATTATATTAGATCACCTCAGATCTGTTCAGATCTGCTCAAATCTAACTAAATCTGAGTAGTTTTAATTATAGTAGATTTGAGTAGATCTAAAGTAGATTTAATAATATATAAAGGTGTAAATTTAATAGATCTGCTTATATTTATTTAGATCTACTTTATATTTATTTAGATCTACTTTATATCTATTTAGATTTAATTTGGATCTAATTAGATCTATTTTTCCATTTTTTATCTCGTTAAATTTAAGTTAGATTTAATTCATTTTTTCCCGGGTACATAAAGCTATTACATAAAACTATTACATAAAATTAATCTCAATATAATTAAATAGTTGAATATATTAAATATATGTAATATATATCAATAGTCTTCTTATTCTTACAATAAACTGAGTTATAATAAATAAATTGATTTTTAATGTGTAGTTTTAATATTTTTTATTACTTACTTATAAAAGCATTTGCTAACCGTTTGAAAAGTCTGTCAGCAAATTTTTTGTACGAAAATTGATCAGTATTTACTGAGCGTTTTGTGAAAAGCATTACCTTAGCATTGCAGAATGTTAAAAAAACATTATATATAGCGTTTGATAAGCGTTCTTAAAGCGTTCAAATCTTAGGCATTGTATAAAGATTCTTATTAAGTTTGAAAGTGTATAAACTCTCAGAAAATTTTCATCAAACGATTATCAACGCTCTATAAAGCTTCTTATTTTCATCAGGGATCACAGCTTTTGAGCAACAATGCTTTGTAGTTGAACTGGTTCTAACTCTAAAATTGTAGCCACTGGAATACGAGCAACAAATCAAAGTCATCACTCTTTTTGTCGCTTAAACGCTTAGGCCGGTATTCATAGTCGGATCTTATATTTAAGATCATCTTAAGTTTATCTTCAGATGGTGTACGAGTAGTTTTATTGGCTGCAGAGCATCTGAAAATAAACTTAAGACAATCTTAAATATAAAATTTGACTATGAATACTGGCCTTAGTTTCAGCGGCCCGTGAAATTGTACCTTAAGACTTTTTAGTGGAGGAGGTGCGCGAAACAGACGAGTTTTTGTCCGTCAAAATTCTCTTCTCTAATTGAATCGAATGTAGCTGCTCTTATTACTGCGCGTTGTTCTCCTTCGATCTCGGGCCGCTGACAGAGGCCGAAAGAGAACGGCGCGCGATAGTAGACGCAACCAAAGGAGAAATTCCCGAAAAATACTTCCCCTGGAGCCGCATGATATGGTGCTCTTTAATATACATTTATGTTACACTTTGGCGTTCTTCTTGAAAAGCCTATACTTTATACAACGTTTTCTCCATTCTCAAAAAATGTATTGTATTAAAAGTGTAAGGTGTATACTTTACATTTTTTGTGTAAGCAAGGAGAACAAACCTATTATTAAATATTCTATGGAGCTGTTGACACTTATGCCCGTTTTCATCATCTCCGATTAACTTAATCGGCAATTAAGTATCAGTGATTGGTCCATTCTGCTAAACGATTAATGCGACTGGCAATTTCAATGAAATAATCGGCCGATTAAGTTAATCGGAGATGAAGAAAACGGGTGTTAATGATTTAATGGTAAATGGACGTCTAATAGAAGTTTTGTTCTGTTTGAGTACCATGTTTGAGTACATACCATGTGACCAAAAAAAGATTTGACCACTAAAAATCGTAACGGAGTAGCTTCTTTGCAACTAAATGATCTCTCATCATAAATCTTTTCTAATTTCAGCTTGTGTATGTGATGACCGCATTCTAAAAATTAAATAATTATTTTTCTAAAGTTTGTTTTTTATGTACATACATATGTGTATATGCATACAATTATATTTTCTAGTTTTTAATATTTTCATATCATGGAATATTGCTGCAACATTGCAAAAATATTATTTTGTAAAATTGAAATATTGTATAAGAATGTATGTACCTATAATGACATTAATATGTTAGAAGTATATATATATTTAATGATTTCTTCAAAACTTCTCTTCAGAGAATTAAATTGTCACTAATTTCAATTTTATTAATGATAGAGTCTGTAATGATAAAGTAATTTGAAACAATTTGTGTTTTCTTACGTAAATTGTTTTTGTTTTTTACAAAATGTAGGATATATTTGCCTTTTAAAAAAACTTCCGTCTTGTTTCTTAAAGTTATACCTAGAAATCGAATCTTACACGCGAACGATAACCCGTGACATATACGTCAATGATAGGCGGGTCATCAGAGTTACGCGAGAGCTGTTGAATCATTGGAAAATCTAGAATAATTGTTTGCGGAAAAATTTTATGACGTTCTTTATATATGATTGTCATCATTACTAGATCTCTTTTTAAAATACTTTACTTTGCAAATTTATATATTTTTATTATTATATTTGTTTATTTATAAT